GATCCTTTCCTCCCAAAATCTAGCCCTCTTCGTTTGGTAACTATTGACATGTCGAGCGTATACCTGTCTGTTTGTCTGTATGAGCTATTTAATTATATATAGATCGAAGGATTAGATGTTTGGGCTATAGCATTTGTCTTTATTTGGAAGAAACTTAAATATTGAGGGAAAGGGTAAAAATATGTTCGTAAATAAGAATTAATTTATAGTACGGTACGTAAAGTATACGAAATATTTAAATATATGGAATGACGATTCGAAACTGGAGTGATAGTAGGTTTTGGTTAAATAGTAGTATCTTTAAAAGGAATTATAAATTTAACATACTCTTACTGCTCTTGTTTATATGTGACGGTTACTACTTTCTATCAGGTTGGCCGTCAGTTTGTTTGCCATTTTAAGTTGCATAAAAAAGTACTCATATATTTTTTTACAAAGGAATACCTAATTATACTGCATTATACAAAACAGGGTATAAAAGAAAAGAAATTAAAATATTAAGCAGTAATTTGCCATTATGTGGATAGGTTTTGAAGCATATAGAATTTGAAATAAAGCTTAACTTACTTAACCTTGAACCGAAGAAGCAATGTTACTTAATTCTATCTCACTTGATTATCAATTCACATTAATATTAATGATGTTATGAAGATACCGACTATATTAAAGTCGTGGGACTAAATTTATTTTCATATGTATAAAATAAAACAAAACGAACAAAGAATGAACTTTTTGTTTATTTCTATTAAAACCTTACTCCGAATAGTACTCGTAGAACTAAACAGACAAAAATGTCCGTTTTGTTCTACTGCATGTACTGTGATAGAACTAAATCGTATAACTATATGGATATAATTCTAAATATTTCAGAACACATTGACAAAGTGTATTTTTAAAGATTACCATAGAAGATATCATAATAGTAGCTGGAGAGGATCTATTATTCTGCCCCATTAAACTCGCTAAAAGATGTTTCTGAGTTTATTCAAACTTGGTAATTAATTACTCACTGTTGAACACAATTCCTTAAAAGATGTTTCATTTTCTAGTTGTCAGCTCAAGAGAAGATCCTAGCTATCCTTTAATCTTAAAATTATGACTTCATTAAAGTTATAGACTATATTGCCTAGAACTAGAGTATCCATCACAATTATATTCATAAAATAAATCGTAGGGTTTACCAGTGTACTCAATCTGTAACCAGTCATAGACCTCAAGCACTATAGAGATATTGCTAATTATACTCTAGTACATTATGTTTAGAACTGCAAAGTTAAAATTAAGAAAAAGGCAAACGAGCTGACGGTATACCTGATGGAAAGGGGCTACCGTTGCCTATGAACACCTCCAATATAAAAGGAGTTGCTTGTGTTTGTAGGCAAGTTTTTAGTCCAGCCAATAATCCAAACCTTCCGAGTTAAAAGTACTTTGGAAAACATGAGTAATATTTGAATTTTTCTCAGTAATTAGTAAGATCGTAGAAGTCCCTTCGATTGGAAAATGGTAATAAAATGTTGAATGTATAATTGAAGTGATTTTAATTTAGACTAGATCAATGATATTTCAAAATATCTGGCTTACCTATTTATCAAAGCAAGCTCACCAAATTCATATTATAAATGTTGATACTAGGTTTTGTTAGTTTCGTGTAAATATAATGCGTCGTAGCTGTAGGGTTGATAACACACATATGTATAGTCAACCCTCAACGACTCAAGCGATCCTTGATAAAATAAAAAACATATTTAACACCATAAAGATAACAGTTGTGACGCTCGGCACTGCAGCGCGACCACCGCACACACGTGCTAAGTAAGTAAAAATGAAACCGTGAACAAACAAACTGTTCCTTAATTAAACAGAAAATAATAAAAACCTAGCATTGACTCACTGATAATGACAATGTCGTCAAACACTTGTGTTTTCGACGGCCGTCTATAGACGTCCTTTGACGTCAATGCTCGCGTCTACGACTACAAATGAAAAATTATTACAATCCAAAACCATCGGAAAGTCATTAGAGCGATGGCGTTAGTCTGCGAACGCCAACAAAAGAAGCAAAGTATCAGAAAGCAATACGACTAATCCCACTAATCGGAGGGCAATTGAAAAATAAAAATGTAGATGGCGCAATGATTCCATTTGGAGCCAAAACGATGCGACAAAATAATAAAAAAGGTACGGGTGGAACGGAATGGGCCTGCCCTCGGCGGCCGGCGGCTAATATTGAAAGCAAATCCTCGACTAAATCCTTAAAGCGCCTGGATTCGAGCACCTGGAAACTGTATGTTTGCGCCGCACCACCGTACCACCAACGCCGCCGCCCGCGCTTCGTCGATAATCATTTGCTGGATTATTGTATACTTTCCGCTTAATGTCAACGATTGCTGTGAATCAATTGTTTGCAATTTATTGGCATTCGGATTTTGACTCCGTTTAACGGTCGGATTCTGAGGATTTGGGGGCTTTTTTCAAATGCCCAGCTTAAACAAATCTTCTAAACGGGTTTGTAATACGACTGTAGAAAGTCTTTTTATCTGCTGCAATAATTTTATTAATTTTTCAAACAAAATTTGCAATAGGTATTAGAGATAAAAAACAATTGTTCATACTTTTCAAGTATAAACCAATAACTTTAAACATACATGCACATACATTTTCAATGTCAACAGCTGAGTTTTTTGCTCAGTGGAAATTGCATTCCGAACAGGATGGTACATTAATAAAACATTACTATTCAAGTATTCTTATAATTAAGTTTATTGTAATAAAAAATATTTTTATTTTCAATCTGAGGTACTTACTTAGAAACAATAAAAAAAGTACAGACGTTATATTTTTATTGTTTACAGTAGATAAACGTTAGTCGCTGTAGAGTATTGCATAAAATCTTCATATTGGATTGCAGCGCAAGGCATTGCATTATTGTATCGTTGCGGTAGTATGCGGAGCTACTCGTATACTTACTTATGACGAGGCAATCTATCTCTGCCGAGGCAGCCGTCGTCGCTTTATAGCAGCCTGAAGGAACGCGAAATTTATTTTCGTTTAAATTTAATGCACTTTCCATAAGCTTTCCGTGTCACATCCTAAGAGGTATTCGCATTGAACATTTAAATAGACTCAGTTATTGAATAATCTGATTGGATATAAATATAACAATCGAATCCTTTTACTAAACTTATTATGGAGCAGATAAAGATAGTAGATTGGTGTTGTGATCTATAACACGACATGTAGGTATCTCACAGATTTTCTCGTATTCGTCATTTGATACCAAATACACTTGACGTTAGACACGCCATGTAAGTCCCGGCATAGAATAGACCACGTCTTCCTTTGACATGGGAGTCGTAAGGGAAAACTAAGGGAGCTTATGGTGGAGGAAAGAGCAGCAGCGTCCCACTTAAAACATCACCAAAAGCCAAACTGCAGTTGCCAACCCGCCTGCTAAATGTTGCAACTACTAACAAAACCTCCCCCATAAGGGATTATGGGGGAGGCTATATTCAGCAGTGGACAGTTAACGGCTGATACAACACTTGACTCTTAATGATTTATATTTTTCATACAATATAGAATGGAAATCAAGTTAAGTTAACGGCTCATCTGTTGGAAAGTCTCCTATAGATACGACTAGCTCCATGAACAGAGTGTGACATGAGTGACACAATGTACCACTCATTCCATTCCTGAGAACTTCATATTGAGGATTCCATTCCTGAGAAGTTATTCCTTCGTAACCTATAATTTCACTGCTATACGTCATCGGAAGGGATCGTAACGACGGAACACAGTTCTGCAAGCACAGCAGCTTAGAGTCTAAATCCCAAAAGAGACAATACCTCTGCAGTTTCCAAGACGTCATTCGTACAAAGCCCAAAGTTTTTTTTTTGCAGAAGGCTTACTATCTGGTCATAATGTAATAACAAATACCACATAATTACATCAACAGCTTGGTCCTAAACCTAGCATATCCTGTATAATGATGAACAATTGAATGCATAATACATTAGTATTAATCTAGACACCACAGAACCTATATGTTTTTTAGGAAGAAATATATTCTTACTATAAGAGCAATAGAAGTTAAAGCAGTGATTTTCAGAATTTTTATCTATTTTTTTTATACAACTTAGAATGACAAACAAGCTGACGGCCCACCTGATGGAAAGTGGTAACCGTCGCCTATAGACATGAGCAGTACCACGGACATAACAGAGTATACTGTTTCGCCCATGATACCCCCCATGCGTTGCCATTCCTGAGGACTCAGGTGTTATTCCTCTGTACCCAGTAAATTCACGCCATATCCCACCCTTCAAACCGGAACACAGCCATGCAAACACAACTGCTTCACGGTTGAAACACGAATGGGACAGAGGTACCCAAGCAATCGACTTTTGTACATGAATGTGTGTTTCGGTATCAGGTAAAAACTACTGATCCAAATTGGATGTCGTTTTTATATCTGTGTTCTCGAAGGTCGAACTTAAAATAAGTAGCTACCTCAAATATTTAATAGTTTCTTTAATAATCAGTACACTTTACTCCGACATTCTTCAATCCAATTTTGTTGGTATATTATATTTCTGTATAGATGCAGGTCCGCATCATTCGATTAAAATGTTTGTATGAAATCCCTGCAAAAACATTCAAGTCTTTTTTTTATACAACTTAGAATGGCAAACAAGCTGACGGCCCACCTGATAGAAAGTAGTAACCGTCGCCTATAGACATGAGTAGTACCATGGACATAACAGAGTATACTGTTTCGCCCATGATAACCCCCATGCGTTGCCATTCCTGAGGACTCATATGTTATTCCTCTGTACCCAGTAAATTCACGTTGAATTTGAAAATTTTACTTTATAAATTAGGTGGTTGCATAGATTGGTTTTCCAGAATAAGAACAGTAGGCATTGTACTGACCTAGTAATTATTCTGTGGCAATAGAGTAAATTAAATCTAAGAAATTATATAAATTAAAACACAAAAAATACTCGATGATATTTTTTTATTATGACTAGAGGTTTCTTTAAGTTACAAAACAATCTGTATTCCCTTACGTTTTAATACAAAATAACTCAACAAACGAATACAGTTCACAGATATTTATTTTGATATGTATAAAATGAAAACCTCGATTCGTTTCATAATAATTGGTAATTATTATAATTTTTATAATGATACGTCCAATTTATTTACATATATTATGAATAATTTAGCAATCCAGATCTTACAAGACATGTTGATAAAATTCGTTGGTTGAATCGAAATTTTAGGAACAAGTTGTAAAGAACATTACATTTTGTTAATACGTCAAATACAGCTATGTGTAGTTGAAATTATAAACATCCGTTTAATGAAGTGTTTTATTTAAACTGAATATTTCTCCCAAAAGAATATGGGACGAGAAACGACAAAAATACTTGAAAACCCTATATTAAAACGATGTGTCGAGCTGACAAGCTAGTACTCAATATATTTGTCGCGTTTTCGACCCATTTCTTTAGACAATAAAATGTTCAGTTTAACTGTTAGAACATTCCAGTAAAAGGAACACCTATTAATGCTTTCGATTTCATTCTATATATCTGGATGTAAATAATGATAGCTGTGGTTTGTTGCCAATAAATGCTTTCTTTCGTTCATTCATCCTTCCTATAAATCCACTGTTAAGTAGGCACACTGATATAGGTATTCTTATTTGTGTTTACAAACTAAATGCTCTAATAAGTATTTTAACACTTAGATAGTTACAGTTATATACATTCACGTCTCAGCTTCAGACAATAAATATTTTAAATAAATAGTGAGATCCGATATGTTAATCTCATGTGTAGGCGGTAGTGATATGATTGGACTTGTATTTTTCAATTAACGCTTTTTCAATTAACATGGAGGCTACGGAATTGAGAGATACAGCTTTAAAAATCAGCAACATAATTACTTTTAAGAAGCACCAACCGATTATTATGTGTCATATAATAATTAAATTACATACATAAATTCAAAATTTAAAAAATGCATATGCAATAAATATATATTTTCACTCCGACAATATTACAGGATAGTCAATTGAAGAGGTCTGAATGGTTTGCTGGAAATTATATGTTGATAAAATTTTATATACTCACATTTTTTATAACAAATAAAATACATATTAATAATAAGAATACGTGGATATTACCAATATTAGTACACATTATCATGTTTTTGTTCTAAATTTTTTAATTAATTCCCAGAAATATTGTTCGACAAAATTCCAATGTCGATAAATCTGGCCTAGTAATTTTGAACTAGACCTACAACTATTACTTTTTAATGTTTCTATCAAACCGTACTTGTAATTGATACACCAAAAATATTTCCTCTGAAATTATTCTAATTCATAAGAAGTCCGTATAAAAAATAATTTTAGATAAATAATTAAGATTAATATTGCAACCCTCTGTAATACTGAATTTTTTATATTATTTTAATGATAAATGTAGGAATATAACACAGTATTTACTAGTTATTGTATGCCATATGGTTCCGGCATAGCATGGACCATCCCTTTCTTTCCCGTAGATGTCATAAGAGGTGACTAAGAGAAGATAATAATCGAAGGAAGGATCTTGAAATATCACCAAAGGGCTAACTGTGGTTGCCAACCCGCCTGCCAAGCGTGGCAACTACTGGCTAAACGCTCCTTAAGGGAAAGGCCTATGTTCAGCAGTGGACAATTAACAGCTGATATGATGATTTACTAGTTAGTGTATTTATGTTAGGAATTCAAGTAAATGGTATTTTCCCACTAAAAGAAAATGTAAGTTGATTTTAAACACGGTGAAGGAATCTCCGTTATTTTCCTACTTCTCTTATTCTTGTTTAGTGTAAACATTCTATAGTATTGCTAAGAAAGAACTGTCATTAGTTACTTTAAATTGATTTGACATATAGATTTTATTAATTTATTCATCATTATTATTTGTTGAATTTATTTATTATTTTTTTAATTGTAACTCAATTATATTCATGAATGATTTTTTATAATTTCCCTTTTGATAGTCTATATTAATGTTCGATAATTAATCATTAACGACTGTAATTATTATAAATGATGTAGCAATACGGAATTTGAAAAGCGTAATTTTCAGATTTTAGAATTCTCTTTACTTTTGTATTGTCATATTATAGTTTCAGTAACATTTATTACATAAAAAGGTATACTAAATGAATATAGTATGGTAGTACCAGACCGGAGTAGTAACGTGTTGATGTCAAGTTATAAGAAGATACATTAAAATTCCTGATAAATTGCGTCAAAATAAAAAAAAAAATACTAAAAGTAAACGCATATATAAATTTGATAGTGAGTTTAAATGTTACTTTATTACCTCTTGGTGCTTTAACTGTGTAATCTATTGTCATGAAATAAATTTAAAAATTTAGTATTAAAGTATTTATTTGGTGCATACGTAGTATTTGGAATGAAGAAGGCTCAATTACCATATTCCAATAACAAGGATGAAGTCGTGGGTAAAAACTAGTAATCATTAAAAATCATTTCATAAATTGGCAATGAAATCGTAACAACAGCGTAGCGAAAAAAAATATCTAATTGAAAACCTTCCATATATATATATAGGAATAAATTAAAATAAATTATAATATTGTTTAGCTACTATTTGAATTAATAAACAGTCTACATAAATTTATAGAATTTAAATAAATTTCTAGTTAATTACAGTGGCTGATATTTGATACAAGTGATGAATTGAATTTAGTCAGTAGGTAAGTTATTTAAAATTTGTATGTATGTAGAGATTATTTTATAAAATTACACTGTAAATATAATCGTGTTCTGTTTATAAAATGTGATACACAAATGCATATTTTATGATTTAAGGATGAAAAAAAACTTGTTCGTAATTATCAACTATTCATGTCATTGCTTTTATACAAAACAAAAATAACATTGTTACCTAGACAATAACAGTAACCCGCACATATTAATGGCAATTTATACAATTAAATTTTTCGCCTGATACGAAACAAATAAATAACCTAATTTCCATATTTACAATTTTTGATAATAAGCTACACACTTAAAAATAGAACTTCGTAATCTAAGTACATTGTAAGCTTGTAAAAATTGCACACATCGCTTTGGTATACGTACATACATAACTACATATTTACATTTACATCATCTAGAACGAATCGTTAATTCTTTATTGCCCGAAGTTTCGTAACGAACCTTGACCTATATGAGGAATTTACACGCGGAACACGCCCTATTGTAACACCGCATCATTTAACTCTAACCCATGATATAATGAAAACAATAATCACCTGATTCTGTGAAAACGTTCAGACAGAATCGGTGTTTATTTCCATTTGGGGTGTTGGAACTAGCTGCAAACAAAGTCCATTCAGTCGAACCAGTCCCAGAGATGCCTATAGAGGCCAGTGGTGTGTGCGGAGTCGTTGGGCGGGCGCGCAGGCGGCGACTAGGAGGCGCGCGCGACAGCGAGCAGCGGCGGCGCCGGCGAACGAGCCTCCTCGCGGCCGCGCGCCTCCTCTCAAAGCACTCGGTCTGATACACCCACGCCGCCTGCATACTGGCACGCCGACAGCGGCGCCGACCCTGCCCGTGACACTGGCGACACCGTGCCGTATCCGCCACCAAATCCTGACGAATGTTGCTTGGCTTTCAACCGTAGCGACGCTATAGAGGAAGACATCGCCGGGCACGGTTCTGCGCGGTACATACTATACGGGTTTGGAGGCGCCGTGTACGGACAGGGTGCGACTCCTCCCCCGACTCCAGCCGAACCAGCTACGCCCGCCATTCCACCCCCACCGACACCTCCCATAGACGTGGCAGTATTAAAGCAATTCACTGATCCTTGATGATGACTCGCCGGCACTACTGATCCGAGAGGGTTCACTGGCCACGGAAAACTCTTTGTGCCTAAGGGACTGGGCACTTTCGCGGCCCAATTATTGTATGGATAGCTTGAGTAGAGCGCATCGGTGTCCGGGAACGGTTGCATTAAACCATTAAATTGAGTACTGAATCCATTTTTGAAGTCTGCAGCTGCGGCCGCAGCAGCATTCATTGCGTTCCTTTCACGTTTCCGCCATTTCGCTCTTCGATTTTTAAACCATACCTGTAACAAACAAAAAAGAAATTAATTTAATGTATACAAAATCAAACTGTAATTTCTTATAAGTTTTTTTTCGACATCTACTAAAAATTGACTCACACTCGATGGTAAATAATTACGAAGTCCTACTATATAGATCACAGATCTAACTCAAATTTGCTTCAAACCTGTAGTCCTTATTTTATGGGTTGTCGAGTACTCTACATATCATTACCTATGCAAGCTTCGTCTTTCTATAAGAGCAAAAACCTAGAGAAGTACACTAACTACGCTCGTCCGCACAACGAAATCTACAAACTTTTAACGAGATTCAGAATCAGGACGCGACCTGCGTTGCGTAGCTATTAACTTTACTCATTACAAAGTTGACAGAGAGACGCGGCGCTGTAGGGTGTAGGAGTATTCGAGCCACGTAGTGTTAGCGCAAACGACGGTGCGGCGGTGCCCCGCCCGCGCCCTCAGCCAACGACCCGTCTAATTGCGGCCGCGAAATGAAGATAAACGAGCGTCGCGATTGGGCGGGACTGCTCCGCACCACTCGCCACTCGATCGGTCCGCAATAAATGAGCGACCACCGCTGCCGGTACCAGTGAATTGCCGGTGCTGAGCTGAGCGGAATCGATGTTGTTATTTAACGGAGGCGAGCATTATAGGAGGCACGAGGCCGGAACACGGAGGTGGGGTGATGGTAGTGATAAGTCGCAGTGAGCGTAGATAACGCGCGAGCTGATGTATGGCAGGCGTCCGTCACTGCGCGATCGATCGCTACGACGACACTTCCACGATAAATTGCGCAATCCACGTACCGAGTGCAATAAATATTGTGCCGCCAGCGGTATTTGTCTCACTCACTGTGGCGGGTTCACCCAGCCGAAACGGTAAATAATACCCTCTTTCCTCGGTTAAGTGAACATAAACGGTCGTTTCCACCCCATATACAATCGTTTATTTTTCGAAACATAAATTTCACAAATTCGCATTCATAACGAACGCATGTTTTGTGCTCAGGCAACCTCGGTTTTATTCTATAAACCATATACCTAATACCTTCACATAAAAAACTGTGAGACTCTTCCTATACTTATACGTATATCTGGTTTTAGTATTTTTAAACAGATTTTAAGAGAATCGTTAATAATAATTGTAACCAAAAGTAAAAACCTATGAAACTCAAAGAGTTAATCCGCACAACAATTGGCAAATAACGAAAGCGCAATGGTAAAACAAAACCATACGCCGCTTCCCATGAAAACCGCTAACAAACGGGTGAAAATAACTCCACACTGGGGTGTTCAATAATGACAATGATATTTATTTAGACGCACATATGTGGAAATAATTTCCATTATTTGAATAGCGCGGGCAGAGCGCGGCGGGGCGTAGGAGAGAGCCTAGGAGGGTCGGAGATATTGCGACGCGGGGTTAATCCTTTAAATATATTATTGTTGGATGGTGACCGCGCGCCCTCCGTCACTCGGCTAGGAGGGACCACCGACAATTTTTTAAGGTTCCCAAAATGTTGTTTCTAACAGTATTCAATGTAGCTAGTATAATATTATTGTAATGATTATGGTAATAGTAAGTGCTAACGTTAGGGGTAAATTAATTATACGATGTTTTTTTTCATCTTTGCATAATTTAATTGCGTAGAATTTTTATCATCGGTTTGTTTCATATATCATCGTCATCATCTTAGTCATTAATTGTCCACTGCTAAACATAAACCTCCATAGACTACCACAAGGAACGGTCCTAAGCCGCCTGCATCCACTGTAATGTAATGTATTTGAAGTCGTCACTCCATCTAGTGGGGAGTCGTCGCACACTGCGTTTTCTCGTATGGGGTCGTCACTCAAGAAACTTTCTTCCTCATCGGTTGACGATTCTTCGAGCTATGTGACCAATCCATTGTCACTTTAACTTTCTTATCTTTCGGGCTATGTCGGTAACTTTGGTTCTTTTGCGGATATCCTCGTTGCGGATTCTATCACGCAAAAAACTCCGAGCATATGCCTCTCTATAGCCTACTGAATAATTTGAAGCTTTTACATACAATTCGTTTTATATAATTGTACGTTAATATAAGAATAAACCCAAAAACAATTAAACAATTTGTGTTAGTATTGAAAACACAATTAAATACTAATTGTCATTTATTCTTAGCTGTTCTGATTTATCTAATGCAATCCATTATATTACACGAGTTCAATCATAATTATATTCCCTGTTTATCGCACATATTACCAGTCAATTCGCGTATTATCAGGGTCGAATATAGATAGCTGTATTACCAGCATCCCCTTTATTGTTATCGCTAGATCGAAGCAAATACGATGATGTGATTTCTAGCACTAAATAGCCAGTAAAATTAGACAAAGAAAGGATACGATTGGTATAACATTACATGGTTTGTAGAATAATAACTCTGTGGTAGTAAACTGCCATAGCATAATACTGAATGCTGACCATGTTGGTGACTAATTATTACAAATTTGATATTATTATCTTTTGTAGTAAAAAAAGCTTTTCTATTTTTGTTTCTTTCTTGTTTTACAATGTTATGAAAATTGACTTTATTTATTGCTAAAAAAGAAATTATGACATTTAAATATTTATTGAATTTAATCACAATAACTTCGTCACAAAAATAGCTATGGCTAACCAGGTTTTCAATAATAAAAAACACCTTTAACACTTTTTTTTTTAGCAAAATATAATAGAAAACGACTTATCAAGAGCTATATCTGGAATATAGCTTTATATGAATGTGAGACGTGAAGATTAATCCAAATAAATTAAATTAAAGAAACAAATATAAAAGCAGCCTTTGAAATGTGCTGGCGAAGAGGGATATTTGCAAGAAAGATAGACTTAGTACTGAAAAGGTCCTACTTAGAATTAAGGAAAAGAGACAAATTATGAGTATAAAAACTACTGAGATTAGAAGACAGAAAATGTCTTCTATGCCACTGGGATACTTGATGCCACACCACGAAATTATGAACATCGTAATAGAACAATGGAGGGGAACGGTAAGACCTAGGCATAATTATATCAGGAAGATCAAGGAAAAAGTTAGTGTCGTGGCGTATCAAGATATAAAGAGTCTCGCTGCAAATCATAGTACTCCACCGAAAATAGTGCAGCTCTTAAATAAGAACAAACGAATGAATATTGACGGTGAGCCACGGATTTACCTGTATGAATTATAATAAAAAGTGAGTACTAGATTAATCTAGGATATACTCGTCTCTCTACCAAATATCGGGATCAAATAATTATGATTGTATTTTAAGACAAATGAAAATCTATGTCAAAATACGTGATAAATATTCAAAATCTAGTTAGATTCTCATATAAATTCGCCTGATTGATGATATGTCGCCCCATGCCGAATAATGAAGCTATTTTACGGTCAGCAGAACCGCAGGGTCTCTAAATTGCCTTAAATTTAAATTAAACCGGAATCACAGTTTTATTAGTGTCATCAATCAAACAACGGTTTATCCGAACGGGTACTCTAAGTTTCGTGATATACGAGTATAGTTCGTATTTGCAATGAGGGTAGAGCTAGTTTGGCGGTATGCAATTTGGCCAGCACTATTTCGAAGTCAAATAAACACGCGCTCGTATAAATGGATAGAGAATATAAACTCGGAATTGACACGTGGCGGTAGCAGGGCTGACACTCGGAGATTTCATTTTAGCAGAGAAATGAGAAAAGAAATGGTAATTTTACGACACGCGTCAGAAAGTTTATAAGTTCATTTTACTATTTGCCTGGCTATGCAACGAGAAGGATATATTCAATTTACGACTACGTAGCTACTGGAATATGAAAGGATGGACATTTTAATTTTCTTTTATATGCTATAATAAAATTAGTTTTAAGAATAAGCATTTGAGATAAAGTAGTTGAGATTAAATAGTAATGTAATTCCTATATTAGTATGTTTATATCTGTGTTTTAAAACATGTAGTCAATAATATTATTATATACGAATATCTAATTAATAAAAATAAATAATACGTGAGTATTGTAGCTTATTAAATTATATGAGATCTGAATTCTGTTTATTGTATTTGATGGAAACATTAAAAATGAACACGCACGCACCAAATACCTAAAAGTTAATAGTTTTGACTTAATTTAATATAATATGACATATAATTTTAAATGACTTATTATTCTCAACGGTCACTAACAACTGCCAACCCTAAATATTCTGGTGAGATTATTAAATGCACCCTGCAGAGAAGCGGTAGTTGTTTCTCCATCGGAATCGGAACACTTTACTAATAAGCGCAAACTTTTTAACTTAATTTTAATTTACAATATTACTATTAATAATATGTAAGCGTCACAAAACAGATTAATTATCTATTTTTCAAAACAACACACAGTGTCTTATTTTGATGTAAAAAATTATGTAACCTAAAATTTTAATTCTTAAATTTCTACAAACAATTATTTTAAAAAAAAACCTCAATTTAAAGGTGCATGTATTAATATTATTAAAATAACAAATAAAATCTTTAAGCGTAAACATGGCTAATATTTTATCGTATTGTATCATATTTATGTAATGACTAGTTTCACAAGATTTAATAGATACTAAAATTAATTAACACCGCTTTGTGTATTAATGAAACATTTTGAAAATTTAATAATAGAATCAAATTCTGCGATTCCATATCGCTTTCTAAGTTCATTGTTAATGCACGATTCTACATTATATGCCTTCTTTTGTTCTGAGTATCTACTGTCAATAAATTATTATTAAGTATTTGCTCGTTTCTTCATACGCGTAGATTTTATAAATAGGAAAACCAATTAAATAGACACTACTTCCAGATGACGTATCAAGATAAAACATACACCAAATTTCAAATTAGATCTTCAGGAATAATTATGAAATTACCTCTAATTCGGTGCAGTAGTTGTTGTGTAATGTCGGAACAAAAATACAGACGGACAGACAAAATTTTTGAAAATTACTGCT